GTCTGCGTGGTCAGATTGCAGCAGGTGTGGGCCTCGCCTTTCCTGCAGGCAGAAGCAGCAGCCTGGAGTCCCCTGTCTTGCATCTTAGACAGACAATGTCTCATTGACACAGCCCCTTCTTTCTGATGCCAGCCCCTTGTTTCCTGTCCCGAGTCCTTGTTATTTTCTCTGGCCATTTCTTGCATGTGTGCAGTAGGTCAGGGCGTGTGTCTTGGTACTGCATCTGATCCCTCTCCTGGTCCCTTGCCCCTTCTTCCATATTCTCTACCCAACAAAAAGTGCCTCTTCCTATCAATATTCCAAGCTGGAAAGCCGAGAGTCACCCTTGTCTCCTCTTTCTCTGTCATCTCCTACACCTGTTAAATCACCAACTCTAGTCTACGTTCAATTTTATGTGCATCTGCCTCTCACCACTCCCACTGCCTGTCAGGTTCTTATGGTTTCTCACCATGACAACTAGAGGAGGGTCCTAGCAACTCTTTTTTCTTTTCTTATTTATTTATTTAGAGACAAGATCTCACTCTGTGGCCCAGGCTGGAGTGCAGTGGCTGATCTTGGTTCACTGCAACCTTGGCTTCCCAGGCTCAAGCAATTCTTTGCCTCAGCCTCTCAAGTAGCTGGTATTATAGTCATGTGCCACCACACCCGACTAATTTTTTGTATTTTTCATGGAGATGGATTTTCACCATGTAGGCCAGGTTGGTCTTGAACTCCTGGCCTCAAATGATCTGCCTGCTTTGGCCTCCCAAAGTGCTGGGATTACAGGCGTGAGCCACCATGCCTGGCCTAGTTTTGTCTCTTTTTAATCTATCCCACGATACAGTATCCAATATAATTTTGCTAAAGCTCAAAATCATTCTCCGTTTCTCTCCTTTTAAAATCTTGCAAACATTTGACATCATTTCTGGCATGAAATGGAAGCTTCTCTGTAACTTGACCCCTGTTTACCTCTTCGCCCTGGAGGCTTGCAAGTTTGTTATGTAGGTAAATTGCGTGTTGCGGGAGTTTGGGGTACAGGTTATTTCATCACCCAGGTAATAAGCATAGTCTCCGATAGGTAATTTTTTTAATCCTCTCCCTCCTCCCACCCTTCACCCTTGAGTCAGCCCCAGTGCCTGCTGTTCCCTTCTTTGTGTCCATGTGTACTCAGTGTTTAGCTTCCACTTGTAAGTGAGAACATGCAGTATTTGGTTTTCTGTTCCTGCATTAGTTCACTTAGGATAATGGCCTCCAGCTCCATCCATGTTGCTACAAAGGGCATGATCTTGTTCTTTTTTTAGTGACTGAGAAGTATATATACCACATTTTCTTTATCCGGTCTATCATCGATGGGCATTTAGGTTGATTCCATGTCTTTGCTATTGTGAATAGTGTTGCGATGAAATACATGTGCACATGTCTTTATGGTAGAATGATTTCTATTCCTTTGGGTATATACCTAATAATGGGATTGCTGGGTCGAATGGTAGTTCTGTTTTAAGTTCTTTTAGAAACCGCCAAACTGCTCCCCACAATGGCTGAACTAATTTACATTCCCACCAGCAGTGTATAAGTGTTCCTTTTCTCTGCAACCTCACCAGCATCTGTTATTTTTTGACTTTTTAAAAATAGTCATCCAGACTGGTTTGAGACAGTATCTCATTGTGGTTTTGATTTGCATTTCTCTAATGATTAGTGGTGTTGAGTATTTTTTTTGTATGTTTATTGACAATATGTATGTCTTCTTTTGAAATGTATCTGTTTATGTTCATTGCCCACTTTTTAATGGAGTTGTTTGTATTTTGCTTGTACATTTGTTTAAGTTCCCTATAGATTTCAGATACCAGACCTTTGTCAGATGCATAGTTTGTAAATATTTTCTCCCATTCTGTACATTCTCTTTACTTTGCTGATAATTTCTTTTGCTGTGCAGAATCTCTTTAGTTTAATTAGATCCCATTTGTCAGTTTTTGATTGTGTTGGAATTTGCTTTTGGCACCTTCATCATGAAATCTCTGCCAGATCCTATGTCCAGAATGGTATTGTCTAGGTTATCTTACAGGATATCATATTTTTTATAGTTTTACAGTTTTCGATTTTGCATTTAAGTATTTAATCCATTGTGAGTTGATTTTTATACACAGTGTAAGGAAGGAATCAATTTCAATCTTTTGCATATGGCTAGCCAATTATCCCAGTATCATTTATTGAATGGGAAGTCCTTTCCCCATTGCTTGTTTTTGTTAACTTTGTCAAAAATCAGATGGTTGCAGGTATGCAGCATTATTTCTGAGCTCTCTATTTTGTTCTATTGGTCTATGTGTCTGTTTTTGTACCAGTATCATGCTGTTTTGGTTACTGTAGCCCTGTAGTATAGTTTGAAGTCATGGCTCCTTCTTTTTACTCTTCTTTTTTTTTTTTTGATACGATGTCTCACTCTGTTGCCCAGGCTGGAGTGCAGTGGCACAATTTCGACTCACTGCAAGCTCTGCCTCCTGGGTTCACACCATTCCCCTGCCTCAGCCTCCTGAGTAGCTGGGACTACAGGCGCCTGCCACCACACCCGGCTAATTTTTTGTATTTTTAGTAGAGACAAGATTTCACCATGTTAGCCAGGATGGTCTCAATCTCCTGACCTCGTGATCCACGCGCCTTGGCCTCCCAAAGTGCTGGGATTATGGGCTTGAGCCACTGCTCACAGCCTACTCTTCTTTTTTCTTTCTCAGAGAAGAGTAGGGTTAGGGGTGAGCAGGCAGGTTAGAGTAGTAGAGCTAAAGGCAGATAGAGATCCATCCAATTATCCTCATTCCCCTCATTTGCCCAACTTCACACACTCCTGTATTCAGGGCCTTTGTAATCTTCTGTGCAGGTGCCCAGCAGCTGTCAAAGCAGCCAAGGCTTAACATAAGCACAGGCATTCCCTATGGACTGGTTGGGACACACCCACAGTCTTAGTTTACATATTTTGTCTGTAACATAGATAAACTCATTACTACATATACAGTTCTGTTTTGTTTTGCTTTGCTTTGTTTTTGAGATAGGGTCTCGTTCTGTCACCCAAGCTGGAGTGCAGTGGCACAATTACCACTCACTGCAACCTGGACTTTCCTGGGCTCGGGAGATCCTCCCACCTCAGCCTCCTGAGCAGCTGGGACAACAGGTGTGCATCACCATGCCTAGCCAAATTGTTTTTGGTATTTTTTTTTGTAGAGACAGGGTTTTACCATGTTGCCCAGGCTGGTCTTGAACTTCTGGGATCAAGCAATCCACCTACCATGGCATTACAGGTGTGAGCCACTGCACCCAGCTCAATCCTGTTTTTATACTAGAAGAACATTCTCTATCTGGGTCTTCCAAACTCGATTCTTACTGGTTTATATGTCCTGTTCTTTTGTTGGTCCAAGAAAATATCCTGAAATCTTTATTTCTCCTCCGTTCCCTCCTTGTTCTAGGACAGACTGGCCCTATCTCTTTCCTGAATTAAGTTTGAATACAATCGGTCTTTGAGTGTGGAATAGCTCCTAGCAGTCTATCAGTCAGCGGTTTCTCTTTGTGGTCACACTCTATGTTTATTCTGGAGACTACAACATGGAAAGAAAATGGACTTTGGAGTCAGATGAATCTTGATTCAGATCTTGGCAGTGCCACTCATCAGCTCTGTGGCACTGAGCACATCAGTGGACCACTCTCTGATCCTCAATTGTCTTATCTGTAAAATGAGATGACACACCCCTGCTCAGGGCTATGGTCGGATTAGAGATGATATGTGTAAGACAGCTTTCCCAGTGCCAGGTACACGCTAAGTGTCCAATAAGAAGATACAAGTGTTGCTAAGTCACCCCAATGGATCCCTCTGCACATCCAATGCTGGACTCTTCATGCCCAAGGAAACATACAGGACACAAAATTCAGTGGCACTCAGCTCAGCAGAAGAAGGCACAGGAAGGGAATCGGGGGG